GAAGTTGTCGATGTTTAGGGATAAAAACTAATCACAGAAATCATCATCATCAAATTCATAATCATGAAAATTATGAATTTTCTTGTTTTAAACCTGTCAATTGTTATCTTATTAAATATGTAATTTTCTTAGCAACCCATTAACTTTTGTAATTATTTTCCCTAGGTACTTGTTGTATTCTTACTAAATATTCATAATTTTGGCACCCAATATTACCCCTTGTATTCTTGAAATTCCCAGTTTAAACCTATTATTAATTTTTTTCATTTTCCCATGTATTAATTTCTTGCTATTCAAAATTTAACAACGAGGTAAAATAAAAATATAAGCATAATTTAACATGACACCTGAACTATTTATGTTTTACGGTATTAATTGGCCGACTCGTATACCTCAAATAAGTATGGCTATTTAAAAAATGCGCTTTAGTAATGTATACGAATTTTCTGAACAACGTACAATAGTAAAGACGAGTGTAAAATATTGATTCTATTTTACAAAACCGAGTTTACAATATATTTCTCCTTATTTACATCTTACAACATCTCTCCTTATTTACATTATTGCAACATATCTGCTAATTTACAGCGGTCTGAGGGCCATTTGGCTAGCGCTTTGGCCTTTGGTACTACAGGCTTCAAGTTCGCATCTCGACGGTGGCATGGATGTTTATGAGTGGTTCAGAATCCCTGTTAAATTGTAGGTCGTTGTCTAATTAGCCAAAAGTGTACACAAAATTACCGTAGAGGACAAACCTAATTTACAACTTATCCCTATTTACATTATTACAATTATCTCCTTATTTACATTATTACAACATCTATCCTCTTGTTTACATTGTTACAAAATCTATTTTCTTGTTTACATTATTACATCTATCTTCGAATTTGCAACATCTGCATCCTTATTTACATTATTACAACATCTGTCTCCCTGTTTCTCAAAATTATCTTTTTTTACATTTTTTTAATCCTACAGCAGTTTGCAATTTTTGGAGAAATTGTCGATGTATATGGATAAAAATTAATCATAAAAAATCTTATTTCTTTTATTGAAACATTTCGCAGGTTAACATTTTATCTTACGACAATGGATAGGGGACAGCATATTTTCATTACTTGTAGCATGTCATCATTATTATTCTGTGTCATATCATTTTATTTTCGATTTTTTAAACTATTTCAATACAATTATATAAGCGAAAACTAGTCTTTTGCACATTCGCTAACAGTCATGTTTTGCGTTCTTATTTAATACGGTATTTTAAACGAGCCATTATAAATCACTACTTATAGTAAATAATCATCATCAATAGCGCGACATCACAGAGTGGGTCAAGTCTTTCCTTTGAAGAGATTTCCATGCATTCAAATCTTCTTCAATCTCGTCTATCCATCTCAACATGGGTAGTCGCCTTCCCCTTTGTCCCTGTGGATTTGCCGAAACGAGCCTTTTTTACAGGGTTTAAATCATTCAATCTAAATACATGAGCAGCCCAGTTTAATCTATTGATCTTCATGAATTTTATAAAATCTGGGTCTTTATAGCATTCATAAATTCATGCGTTGTACCGTTTTCTCCAACAATCACTTTCCTTACCACCTCCAAGAATAGCCCTTAAAATTCTTCTGCTCAAATATACCCAAATGGGCTTCTTCATCAGATCTTGCCAAAGTCCAAGTTTCTGAGCCATAGACCAAAATAGGTCATAATAAGTAATATGTTGTATAAATAAAAAAAATCATTAATTTGATTATGCAAATGTCTAAAAAAGATGATTTTCACACGTTTGGGAAGAAGAACTGTTAAAAAATTGCGTGCAAAATAAAATTCTAGTGAAAAATATTCCAAAAATCTATGGTTCTTAAAACTGAAAATCATTAAAATTAATAGAAAAACAATTTTATTCTTATTTTTTATATAGTTATAAAAAAATTCGTGTAAAGAATTCTAAATGATGTTTTTATATTGATAGATATTGGTGAGATAGTTGTAAGAGAAAATTGCTTTGTCATTTTGCGTTGTTGTTTTCTGCACGTGAAAAAAAATTAGAGTGGAAAGTTAAAAGGGTGGGGAAAGTAATGGGGTGTCCCTTTTCGGAATTATTTTATAATTGTATTTAATGAAGTTCGTTGAACTTTTTTCCCATTTATTTTTCGGGAAAAATTTGTGAGCTTTATAACCAGTGAAAGTTAACGATTTTGCTTGCCTACTTTTATTTGACTGCTTGCAATTACTTTTTTGTTTGGCTACTTGCAACTACTTTTTTGTTTGGCTACTTGCAACTACTTTTTTGTTTGGTTACTTGCAACTACTTTTTTGTTTGGCTACTTGCAACTACATTTTTGTTTGGCTACTTGCAACTACTTTTTTTTTGCAACTACTTTTTTTTTGGCTACTTGCAACTACTTTTTGTTTGGCTACTTGCAACTACTTTTTTGGTTGGCTACTTGCAACTACTTTTTGTTTGGCTACTTGCAACTACTTTTTTTGTTTGGCTACTTGCAACTACTTTTTTGTTTGGCTACTTGCAACTACCTTCTTTTTTTTTTTTAACATTTATATGTTTAATTAAAATTAATGTAATGTCACACAAAAAATTAAATTCTTTAGTAACTTTATATTTTCTTTGTAGCAATTTATGTTAACTATAATTATTTAATCCATTACAAATTATTTTACAAACTTTTATTAATTTAAAATTAGTCTTTATGGCTATTGATCTTTGCAAGTTTCAACTTCTATAATAGAAAGTGGCCTGATGACCAATTGGCTAGCACTCTGGCCTTTAATACCACAGGCTTCAAGTTCAAATCCTGGCGGTGGCATGGATGTTTGCAAGTGGTTCGGAATCCACGTTAAACTGTAGGTCCCGGTCTAATGAGCCTAAAGTGTGCAAAAAATGACCATAGAGCGACAAACCTACAGAACTTGAGAGTTAAATATAACTCAAGTTCTGTAGTAAATTTCTATAATAATGCTACAAAATTATCTTTGGTAACCACATGAGTATTGAAGTCATTAATCCCATTTTCTATTATAGAAATTAAAACTTGCAAAGACCAACAGCCGCAAAAAATTAATTTTAAATTATTAAAGGTCTGTAAAATAATTTGTAACGGAGTAAATAATTATATATTTAACATAAATTAATACAAAGAAAAACAAAGTTAATAAAGAATTTAATTTTTTGTGTGACATTACGTTAATTTTAATTAAACGTATAAATGTTTTACTTTTTCAACATAATTTAAATGTAAACTGCCAACCGATTGTTTAACACTGTTTATGTTATGTTTTTTAAAGATTGTATCAACAATTATTTTTAAATATATAATATAAACTTAAATATAATAATTAAATATAACAAGTGAGCAAGAAGTTACTAAATGGAATATAACAAGTGAGAAATGTAATAAGTGAGTGAAGTTTATCAAACTTTCTTTATGTATTTTTTGAGGAAAAATTTTTGATAGTGTATATATAAGTCAAGAATAAATTATACTTAAAATATATCTAAATTTACTTTATTAATAAGAAATTCTTTAAACTAAATACTTTATTAGTTTAAAGAATGGAGGGTAAAGCGTTAATTGTTTTTGTGGAGGGTAAAGCGTGGTTTTAAAAACAAATTATATATAGTTTGTTTTTAAAACCAAACTTTTCTCTCCAGAAGATTGCAAGTTTGCTTCTTTGAAACCAAACGATAATTTTTTTTTTGTATTTACTATCGTTTGCGAATAGAATATTTTTGATTTCTTGTTTCTGATGGGGTTTATTTAAAAATTATTTTTGTAGAAAAAAATTAAATATCTTTATGTATTTAAATGTTTTAGAATCCTTTAAATGAAAATTATATTAAATTACACAAATCTTTATCGATTCATCTATATAAGAAATGTTTAGTTCCAATTATTTTTTTTACAGAATATGAGAAATAATCGATTATTTTATTATGCATTTCTGAAAACAAACTAACTGTAAACGTGCATTAAGTTTAATTGAAATAAATGTTTAAAAAGTTATTTCTGAAAATTAAGTTGGTTTTGTGAAATTAGTTATTTTTTTGAAAGTGTTATTTGAATGATGTAATATTTAAAATACAAATTAGTTCTTTGCATTAAAATATTATTAAAAAGGATTTAACCACAATTTCTTCGTTTATTTGATTATGAAAATTAAAAATACTTCAAACATATTTTCTTTTTAATTTATTATTAAAATACACTCTAGTTTTTTTCATATTTTAACTTAGTTAATTTTAACATAATGTAAGTAAAGTTAAAATACATTATATTAATTTTTTTTTTCTAGAGTTAAGAAATAATTTATTTCAATTTGAAATTTTTATCGAAAATAATTTATTCACAATTATAATTATTTCTATTTATGACTTTGTATGTCGAGTAACGAATACAAATTAATAGGAAACATTTTTTTTTTCTTTAAAGGTGAAGTTTAAATGTACATAATTTTTTTATATGATTTAGTTGTTGCTTATATAATTTAGTTGTTGAAATTCAAAAATGGATTTATCTTCTATTATGCTACAAAATAAGGAAACTAAAATTATTGTCCCTTATCTAATTCGTAATAGCGTGTCATCTACGTCATTTACATGCAAGTGTTTATTCAGTCGGCAACTGATAAATATTCAACAATTAGTTCCTGATAACATTGAATCTAACAATAAAACTATTGAAACTATATTTTAGAAGTTTTGAAAAAAAAATGAAGGATGTTCCTGTACCATATTACCTCAACCTACTATCATTGATCGTTGTATTTCTATTGTGATTTACCGATTACATCAATACTGAACTATTCATATTTATAATATTTACAAAATAACGTTTATCAGAATCTTTTCTCTTTATATATGTTGCTATATTTTTAATATTGTTTACACAATTTCTTTCTTTTTTTAATTTATTTGGTTCAAAAGATTATGCATTTGATTGTTTTATTGATTTTTTTTAATGTATGTATACTTAAATAACTCTCATGTGGTCTACTGGTTAGGATTCCTGGTTTTCACCCAGGCTGCTCGGGTTCGATTCCCGGCATGGTAAATTATGGATCATTTGAAGCACTTGCAGGTCTAAGTTTTCCTCGGCTGTAATCTTTGGAAGCTGAGTCTGTTCTTAGAAATGTTTTCCATAGTCTACGAATTTCAGATGGATTCAAATTCAACCTTCTTGCCCCATAAGATTAAATTTAGCCCGCTTATATTTGCCCAAGGGCTCATTATTGGATACATGAGAGTGAATGTTCAAAGATGTGACGACATTTTACTATAGTTCAACCATGATTGGGTTGAGAATTGGCAAAGGGATATGTCGGATGGATTCAAACGCAGCAGCATAATAGGAGAGAAAAGTAATTTTGAAGGGATTTTAATTACCAAATTTAATAATATCTTAATCTTTTAATAATCAAAATTTGTAATGATATAATATCAAAAAAAAGTTTTCACTGGCAGATTTCGAGACAGGAGATGTTTTTATTTTATAGGTAGGGTTGTCAGTCCTACGCTGTACGATCTACAGTCATATTAGACCAGGACCTACAGTTTAAAGTGGATTCCGAACCACTACAAACATCCAACGGACCACTACAAACACTCGGCCATCAGCCTCCATTATGTCAAATTATACAGATTAATTATCAATATGAGAAATTCCACAATAGCTATTAAACATTTTCTTTCAAAACTGCTTTGCGCTGCGTATATCTGACTAGTACCTCTAACAAGTAATGAATTTGTTCGTTTTCTCTTTTAAAAGGAATGTTTACCTACACACAATTTTCCGCTTGCAGAAATTACTGATTCTTTTACAGTCTGTTATTGGCCATATATCTAATGATGTTAAACAACTGCGAGACTATTAATATGCACATCATATTCTGGTGTATTAATATTTCACGTATACTTTATAATTTTTAAGAAAATGTATTTTGTTTTAGCCTTGTAATTGCAATTTTTCTGTTTTAAATAATTTAAAAAAAGCACAACTGTTTGGCTGTTTGATTAATGCTACATTGTAATATTTTCAGTTATTTATGTCACTTTTTTGCATCATACTTATTTATGGCATTGGAATGGAAAACCAGACATTTTTAGACTATGTCGTCCTGCTTGAAGGAATGCCTTGACTCATGCTTGAAGTCATCATTACTCACATGGACTCATACCCAAAAAGATTTGCAGTGTTTTGTTTACTAAATTAAATTTTATCTTATTTATCCTGCCTCTCAAATATATAAATTATCAAAAAAGCATATTCGTTTCACGTTAAGTCAATATAATAACTTAAATTATTTTACAATAAACACTTTAAAAGTAAACTATTTTATAATAAACACTTTAAAAGTGAACAAACTATTTTACAATAAACGCTTTAAAAGTAAACAAACTATTTTACAATAAAAACTTTAAAAGTAAACAATCTTATAACTTTCATAAATGTATTTTTTGCCTGTGTTGTTATAAATCACATAGTTAAATTAAGGGGGCGAGGTCGACGGACGAAGATGATTGGTGACCTCTGTTATAAAAAGTATGAACTTTATCTGATGGCTTAGCCTAGGACCCCCCACGCACCCAAGTGACCTACGCATTGGTTGGAGGGAGAGAGTTCAACTAGAATGTGCATAGGTGAACGTGGGGTAGTGATTTTTATATTCAATCGCTACAAATTGGAAGATGTTACAAACTTGTTTCAACACGGAAATGGAGATTTCTTATTCAATCTTTTAGATGTTTTACTGGCAAAAAATTCTCTATTTCATTACTTGTCTAGTTGATTGTTATTGAATTAATAAACAGTTGTTATTGAATTAATAAATAGTTGACTGTTATTAATTTAATAACTATCAACTACTTATTAAGTAATTTTTATTGAATTAATAAATAATTGAGTGTTACTGAATTAATAAAGTAGTTGAGTTTTATTGAATTAATAAGTAGTTGAGTATTATTGGTTTAATAAGTAGTGGATTGTTATTGAATTAATAAGTAGTCGATTGTTATTGAGTTAATAAGTAGTGATTTGTTATTGAGTTAATAAGTAAGGGATTGTTATTGAGTTCATAAGTAGTGGATTGTTATTGAGTGGATTGTTATTGAATTCATAAGTAGTGGATTGTTATTGAGTTAATAAGTAGTTGACTGTTATTGAATTAATAAGTAAATGAATGTTATTGATTTAATAACTAGTTGATTGTTATTGGGTTAATAACTAATTGATTGTTAGACAATAAATAGTTCATTGCTATTGAGTTAATAAATAGTTGATTGTTATTGAGTTAATAAATAGTCGATAGTTAGTTGATTGTTATCGAGTTAATAGGTAGTTGATTGTTATTGAGTTAATAAGTAGGTGATTGTTAATGAGCTAATAAGTAGGTGACTGTTATCGAGTCAATAAGTAGTTGATTGTCATCGAGTCAATAAGTAGTGACTGTTATTGAGCTAATAATTTTTAATTCTTGGAAATTAGCATCTTTAAGATTTAAAAGACGTTCGATTCATAATATAGATAAACTGTAAATCAGGTAAATTTTTGTTCAGTTGCGTAAAGTTGCTATATAATTAAAGACTTTTATAATCTCCACAGATCTATCTAGAATATTTAAAATTAAAGCTTAAAAGGATTAGTGAGATAATTGAACAATTTTCATTTCTTCGAATATTTCTGATAAAAAGATTATAATTTTCTTTTCAAATATTGACTGAAATATGACGTTGATTTTTTATTAGTTTTACTGAAGGATTGATAAACTATGGCATTTAAACATTACGGTTAATTCCTAAGGGTTTTTCTTTGCACATATATACTGCAGTTACTTGTTGAAAATAACATTTTAAATCTGCATTGATAAAAGCATTCACAGCTAGGTATTTCAATCTAAATCATTTTGAAAACAATGCTATTGTTTATAAAAGTTTTTGCACTTGCTTTATTTTCTTTTCATTTTAATATAAAGATGTATATTGCATATTAATTTAAAAGAATTTGCCAAAAATAGTATTTTTTTTTATTAACTTAAAGATGCAAAAGAAATAAAGACACAAAATAATCTTTAGATGAATTTTTAGCTATGCATATTTTCAGAAAATACTAGTCTTTAAATTTTCCATATATTTATATTGTTTAGTATGTTTATGTCGAAAATGTCAATGAAAAAATTTATGAGTAAAGTTTAACTTAGCTAAACAACTGTTTATTGGAAGTTTTTATAACTGTTTACAATAGTTAGCAATGGAAATTAGAAACAATTGTTTTTAAAATTCAGCTTCTAGTAAAAACATTTTTTAAAATTCAACTTCTAGTAAAAACATTTTTTAAGATTCAGCTTCTAGTAAAAACAGTTTTTAAAATTCAGCTACTAGTAAACAGTTTTTAAAATTCAGCTACTAGTAAACAGTTTTGCTTAATTCAGTTTTTAGTGAACAGTTTTATTGTAAATTCAGTTTTTAGTGAACAGTTTTTTTTTAAATTCATTTTTTAGTGAGCAGTTTTTTTTAAATTCATTTTTTAGTGAAAAGTTTTTTTTTAATTCAATTTTTAGTGAACAGTTTTTTTTAAAATTTAGCTAGTAAACAATTTTTTTTTAAAAGTCAGCTTCTAGTAAAACAATTTTTTTTAAAGTCAGCTTCTAGTAAAACAATTTTTTTTTTAAAGTCAGCTTCTAGTAAGCATTTATTTTAAATTCAGTTTCTAGTAAATAATTGTTTAGATATATTTGAATTGATGTCAATATACTTTTGTCTCTCTAAACGATGAATTAAAAAGTCAATTTAAAAAAATTATTGAATTATTACTTCCAAAAGTTACTCAAACGTTGGAATTTTTAATAGCTCGAGTAACCAAGCGTTTTGATGATCTTTTTTCAAAAATAAAACAATACAAAATAGAGAAAAACTACAAAAGTGAAAGCTAAAAAAAGTGACTCATCATACTTAAAACGATTCATAATCGACGCGAAGTTGACGGCTAAATCTTTTGTTAAGAACATAATCTCTTCTTTCTGACTGTAAACAAACCGATAAATTCAAAAGAGGAAACAACTCAAAAGAAATCGTCTGATTATTTTTGTTCACTGTTGTTTCTACTTGTTCTCATAAAATAAATAGACACGGATATGATATTTTAATGATACGGTATTAAATCCGGTATTTTTTAAATGAAATACATTCTTGAGGAAATAATAAATTCCTAATTTACTTCCCTTTTGATATAAGGAGAGTTGTAAATGTTTGATTACAAGTTTTTTAATTGGTTATTTATGTTTCAGTAAAGGAAGTGATAGAATATTCGAAGAATGCAATTTAAATAAGATTATTGGCGTATGAGTTTTATTTTGATAAGCAATGAAAATTGTCTCATTTAAATTGTTATTCATTTCTGATATCAGAATTTAAAAAGTAATAAGTTCTGTTTTATTCGAGAAAGCAGAAATTCTGTTCTTTTTTTAAAAGAAAAGAAATTTTTTTTTTTTTTTTAAAAGAAAATAAATTTTGTTCTCTTTTTTAAAAAGAAAATTTTTTAAAAGAAAATAAATTTTGTTCTCTTTTTTAAAAGAAAATAAATTTTGTTCTCTTTTTTTAAAAGAAAATAAATTTTGTTCTCTTTTTTTAAAAGAAAATAAATTTTGTTCTCTTTTTTTAAAAGAAAATAAATTTTAATTTTTTTTTTAGAAGCAATGAAATTTTGTTCTTTTTAAATGTATATGAAATTTTGTCCATGTTTTCTTGTGCGTGTAAAATGAAATTGTAGCTGCTCACTTTTATCTTAATTTCCTTACTCTCTATAAAGGGCATAGCTTAGAACTGTTTATGTATGTGGCTAACAAATAAATCGTAAATTTGCCCAGTTATAGAAAAATAGTATATTCCTTTTATTTTAAAAATTGCTTATAATCAAATGAATATTTACATCTACTTAAGGAATTAAAAAATAATTTTGGTAATATTTCCAATAAGATTTGTTACTCATAATTCTTCTCTAATGGGGACTTTTATTACCAGACCATGAACTGCTGATCTTTTCCGGTTTTTTTTTTTTTT